TAGTGTGCATACTTGGTGTATGGCATGACTAGTGTTTAGAAAACATAGTGTACATGCTTGGAGCATGGGACAACTATTGTTTTAATTCAAGTATAAAGTTGATAGTTTGAAACAGTATGCAATGAATAATGTGTAATCAATATGGTGATAAATAAAAAGTTTTCTATTTATATTCATAATTTCTGAGACCATATTTGATTCGATTATTTTTTATGTTTCACTTTGCATGTTTTGACTTCCAGAATAACTAGGTTATTCTTCCCGAATAACTAAGTTATTCAAACCATCCACAGTCGGTCATATGTTGGAAGTAGATATGAAACAAGACTGTCATGAAGTTGGATTGTAGATGTCCAAGGTATGGGACATAGCAAGAGTTGCTGCAACATTCATGAGTGCTCATAAGTTCTAAGTATTGGATTCAACCCACGCTCGCTGGTATCACTTCATGGAATTTATCTCGAGTGATCGCGAGATGGTAATATCATATAAGTCTTCAAACCTAGAGATATGACTTGTTGCCTATGAGTTGGTTATGCATTGATTGTATGAAAACGCATTGGTAACTCGATGTTATAAAACGTGCATTTGTGTATGATTCAACAAGTAGTAGAACAAGCATATGAGTCGAAGTTTATCCATTCCTTTTACCCTTGAAGGGATAAAAGCGATATATGTGGGCCCCTCGATGATTTAGTGATGACACCCCGAAGTGCTTGGCCAAGCCAGGACTAATGTGATTTGTTCAATTAGTCGGTCGTCATAAATCGGAAATCGGGAAACAACAAATGGACAGAGAGAATGATTATAATCCATGTCTCAGTCCATATGATATCTACAATGGAGGAATATATGATCCCTAATCTAATGGACGCGTCATTGATTTGTTCAGAGTTCGATAGCAGCTTTTAAGAACTACGATTGCTAGTCGGGTTTTGAAGTCATACGCAATAATAGTTTAGACTTATCCAAGTGGGAGACTGTTGGATTAGTGTCTAAGTCCATAACTATAATTGAAATGTACTTGACCCGATTGGCATGGTCCATTTGGGTTGCATGGCATCGGAACAATTTGGATAGACTTTTGTGAGAAAAGGATATATATGATTTGTTAATATATTATAAGTTCTAATATATTAATATGAAATCATATTATTTAATTAGTATTGATCAAGAATTAATTTGGAATTAATTTTGTGATCAAAAGGACGCTAATTAAATATATGGGGATTGATTGTGTAAATCATTCATTCTTATATATGTGGGCTTATGATCCATAGTTCTTCATGTTGGGCTAAACCCATGGAGTAACCCATGGATACTCCATGGAGGTTTTAACCCATGGAGCATGGAGAATATGGAAAGACATGAGTTACATGGCATAACCCTAATAGCCTCCATATATAAGGACCCCATGGCTCAAGAAATTGGCACTAGTGTGTGTACACATGAGGGCTAGCCAATTTGAGCATAAGAACCTTTTCTCTCAAGTTATTCCAAGATGTTGGTGATGTTGTGAGAACCATTTGAGGTGTCACACTTGAGGCACTAGGCTCTTAAGCTCCATGGAATCAAGCTACTACAAAGAGGTATGTAATTCTACTAGAAGTTATATTATATGTTCTTCATAATATGCTAGTTAGAACAATACCTTGGAAAATTGATATTTGCATGTATAATAGAGAAAACATAGATCCAAGGTATTTAGGGTTGCATGTACACCTTAGGAGTGTTAGAATGCTCAAAACCCAACAATAACATCACATGCCTTGTTGCTTTTTATTGATTTTAATATGAGATTACAGAGATGATGAAGATAATACGAGTACAAGTGTAATGGTAGAGCTAAATGTGTGTGTAATGTGTGATTTGCATCTAGTATTTTATGATGGAAAACGTAGGTTACAAAACAATGCTCGAAGCGGAAAAACGTTTAATAATTAAATTATTAGGGCACATTCAACGTCAGGAGGATCTATGTCTTTCACATAAAGGGAACATACTATTAACTATCAAACTATAAAACAAAATCCTAATGAAATCTGAATTCATAAGGGAGATTACATACCTTGTTGATTTTTGGAGCAAACAATCAAGAATCCTTTCTTCAAAGCTTTTGGAAGCGAGCACCACAAGTCTCGTGCCTCTGATGGTTCACACCCAACGCTAGCAACTAAGAAGCTTTGGAGAGAGGAGAGAGGATATGAGATTTTCGGCCTTGGCTCTCAACAATGAAGTGGTAGTCGAAAAATGAAGGCTAGGGGATGTTTATATAGCTGAAGGATCTTGGAGCCAAAGGTAGGGTTTTTGGGAATCAGGTTGCCTTATCTCCCCATCCTTGCCCCTTGGGCTTACAGTTTTGCATTATGTTTTAGGTACCTCATAGGATCGCGGTAAGGCGAAGGCGTGATCGTGCACCTCCTCATATTTTGTTTTATGACATTGGGAAAACTCTGATATTAAACATATTTGAAAACTATTTTGTAATCAATGATGATTTATGGGTTGTTTTAAAATTTTAAATTTTTCATGAATTTTATATATATATATATATATATATATATATATATATATATAATATATATATATATATATATATATATAGAGAGAGAGGAGGGTTCAATTGAGAAAAAAAAAAGGTTGAGAATGGAGGAATCATTTTCAGTCACACATTTATTTTGTTGTAAACACTTAGGCGTACCGTCGGAAATGGATAACGGATAAAATGTGTTTCCCAACCAAACATGTTTCCTTAAACTATGTTAATAATTATCTTAGTATACACAAAAACATATTTTTTTTTTATTTTTAGAAAGCCATTTTTATCGAAAAAATATTCTAAATATATCAAAATTCATAATTTTTTATTCTCAATAAATAGACATTCATATTAATATAATTTTAATATATAATAAAAAATTTATTTTTTTTAGAGTTTCAGCTCTCGTTATTCTCGTTATTCACTTATGAATAAAACTTATGCTTATCTTTTTTTTTATAGTTTAAGTATCGTTCATATATGAATATGACACGTAATAAAGTTTTCTTACTTAAAATATATTTTTTACATCATCTTTCGTCATATATTATATATATGAATAAAACGTGTATTAGTGTCGTCATATTTTATATTCATATATGAATAAAACATTTATCAGATATTTTTTACAGTTAATTTGTTATTCATATACGAATAAGTAGTATAAATGATACTTAAACTGTAAAAAAATTAATTATATATTTTTATTCATATGTGAATAAATTTGCAATTAAGCTTAGGTACCCAAATGCTCATATACTACATCGTTTTGTATAATATATATACATTGTAATTGTCCGATATTCTTATAATTCAACTTATAACTTGATTTACTTCCAACATTTTTATAAATTTCACATTTATCTTCCTCTTACATAATTTTCATTTTCAACTATAATATATATAGTCTACTAGGTATTCAGCAAAAAAGATGTGATGTAAGAGGAAGATATTAGTGAAATTTTGAAAATGTTAAAAGTAAATCAAGTTAATGATTGAAGTTTAAGAACATTATAACGAATATATATCAAACAAAACAACGTATTTTGATGGGTTTGGATACCTAAATTGATATACTTTTATATATATATATATATATATATATATATATATATATATATATATAGATATATATATATATATATATATATATATATATATATATACCCCACTTGTTGCCTATCCACCACTCATGATCAGACAGCAAAAACTATAGTAATCTGATATCTAGTCATCTAATTTTTCCTTAAAACTTCTACAGGAAACCAATTTAACGAATATCATTTCAACACAGAATATAAAAGCTGATAAGGTTTATTCTTATGTTACAAAGAAATATGTATTGATGGTGGACAGAATGACATTATATATATTTTAGCAAACGCTGAGAAAGATCATTATGAGAGTTATAGCGGTTGGGATGTGGATTAATAGAGGTTTGAGTTCAATACCGAATACACTTTCTTGATTGATGGTATGAGTTCAACGAATGATATAAAAAGAAACATATGGATTCAAATTGAATATATCTTTTCATGAAATAGCTCTAAAAAGAGTATATAGTTTTCTATATTGGGTGTTTTAGTTATCACAACTTTAAAAAACAATTATTTTAAAATCGTAAAATCTTGTAAAGCCAGAGAAACATCAATGAAGAGAATATAATTAGGGCCGTAAATGAAACAAACGAACACGAAAAAAACAGTGTTTAGGTTCGTTCATTTAAGTTAGTCGAATAAAAGAAAGAACATGAAACGGACAAATAAAAAAAGCCTTGTTCTTCTTCGCTAATTTAAAAAATTACGTTGTTCATGTTCATTCGTTTATCCTCGTAAAGATGATAAACGAAATAAACGGACGAACATAAACGAACATATAATATAGTAATATAATAAAAAAACAATTGAATATATATAAATATAAATAAACGTAAAGGAACGAACATAAACAAACATAAACGAAAAAAATAAAGGAACGTTCACGGAAATAAATGAACAAATGAGATTATTGTTCGTGTTCGTTAGTTTAAGTAAACGAACGAGAATTTGTTTTCACGTTCGTTTATTTATATAATAAATGAATATGAACGAAAATTTTCCGTTAAACTGTTCACGAACAATTCATTTGCCTTTCTTTTGGGTTTACAATAGAAGCACTAACTTCAAGATTAACACTCTAAATGTTATTTCCACTTTGTAATGTACTCTTTTTTTTTTCTCATTGGTAGTTTTATAAAATCTTCGTGGTCGATACAGAAAAGATGACAATAAAACGATAGAATCTCTAGCCAACAAGGGGCCAAAGTGTTAATTGCCAAGACCTTCCTATTAAAAATCATGCATCCGATAATTTTATCTTGTTCACAAGTTAAATTTTATATTGTTTATAAAAACTTACTTTTCATATGCTTCAAGTTGGTTAATTGTTTTTTCAAGGGAAAGCGAATAACGTGGATTATATAAATAGAACCTCAAGCACCTAAGGTGTCACACTTTGTAGCTACGACTATCACAAAAGATTCCCTTACATTCATAATCATGTCCAAAGCACATTCAAATTGTGGCACAAATGAGTTACCCATGATTACAACCGAAACAACAGAAGAAAACCAACAGTCTAAAGTCGCTACATTACTTCAACTTCGGTATCCTCCCGGTTTTTTCCGAAAGGTAAGTTACCATATTCCATAATGGTTGATTTGATATTATCTACATGCCATCCCATGATAACCGTCTTGCTTTGTGGACGTTGTGATTTACAACATCTGTATACCCTTTTTTATCATCTTCATGATGATTTGGAGATGTTTTGAATTTGTTTTTCAGGTGGTGGCAGAGGCCGTTGCCACCTTCTTGTTGGTGTTTGTGACATGTGGATCGGCAGCACTTGCTACAAACAGTGAACATAAGGTGTCTCAACTTGGAGCCTCCCTTGCGGGTGGTCTCATTGTGACCGTTATGATTTATGCAGTTGGACATATTTCGGGTGCACACATGAACCCTGCGGTCACACTAGCATTTGCAGCTGTGGGACATTTTCCTTGGAACCAGGTACGTGGCTAGACCTAGACCATCAATAACATAATGGATCATGTTACTTAGACCATAAAACTCAATAAGCTGGAACCATATGTGGTTAATGTGAGTATGTGATAATGATGAGCACATGAGGACCATGGGAAGCCAGGTCGAATATGACCTGATTTGGGCCACTACATGACCTACTTTTAATTGGCATATTGTATAGCTTCAATAATGTCATGAATATTTTCATGGAGTTCAATGGACTCAAGTCAAATCTTCAACTTCAAGTAAAGTTTTCATACTTAGATATAAATATATAAATTGATTAATAGTTATCATTAGTATGCTATTTCAGGTTTTCTATTATGACATATAAGTGAGGAAATGTTATGTTATGATGAAGATAGGATAAGATTTTTGAATCGTTGAGTTAGTATCCCAAGGTGTCACCATAAAATGAAAAAGTTGTACAGAAAAAACTATAACCCCTGTGGATGCTTCCATAATAGAATTTTTTGAAGAACTTATGAAAAAAACAAATAAATAAATGAAAATAAAAACTCGTTCTGAATAACTAATAACAGTCACAAATTCAAAAATTTGACTCATGCAATTACAATACAAGTAGTTTATTTCTTTTGTCCTCTAAGTTATATAAACTTAAAAGTTGTGGGTCCATAGATAAGTTAAGAATCTTTATAATGGAAACATATATTGATGACAAATAAATCTCACCCATTGTGTTTATAAGGTCCCGATCTATGCAGTTGCACAACTAACGGGGTCCATATCGGCTTCATTCTGTCTACGTGTACTTTTACAACAAGTCAAACATTTGGGCACAACAACACCTTCAGGGACAAACGAACAAGCTCTAATAATGGAAATCATCGTCACTTTTACAATGATGTTTGTTACGTCAGCAGTAGCCACTGATTCTAAAGCCGTAAGAACACTACATTGACATTTTTGAAAATGGCATAAAGTTAACAAGACCCGTAATTCTATTCTAAAATTATTTTTCAGGTAGGAGAGTTAGCGGGTCTAGCGGTAGGATCGTCTGTATGCATTACTTCCATCTTAGCAGGGTAAAAGTTAATGTAATAAAATATATTCTTTAACTAAATATTATATTTATAAAGATTAATTTTTTTATATGGATTATTTTTCAGACCAGTATCAGGGGGATCGATGAATCCAGCACGCACTATCGGGCCGGCATTAGCTAGCAATAATTATAAAGCGATTTGGGTGTATATCGTGGGCCCTATAACAGGGACGGTGTCTGGGGTGATGTGTTATAGTTTTATTCGTACAACTGATAAACCACTTCAGTCAGTTTCTTCGTTTAAACTTCGAAGAATGAAGAGCATTAACGAAAATGCTACCGTTTAAAGATAAATTAAGTTCACTATAGCTGTAATATATTTCTATTAACTATAATGGTTTCTCGTTGAATAAAATGAAATAAAATAATAAATTAGTTGTTACATTCCATTCCATGGCATATTTTATTGGTGTTTAGGAATGGAATTAATGACTGCAATTAATCTTTAGTTTTATATATAAATAGCAATATGGTTTTAACAATAGTTTATATATTAGTTTATAATAGTTATAAATTCTAGTATTCATAAGTCTAAAACATGTGTCCTATTATAAAAGTTACCACCTTTTGTACATTTATCAGAAAAAAAAAATCCAATTTGCAATATACAATTCACACAATGCATTTTTTTCACAACATTTTTTTATGATTTCTCCTCGCTACTAAAAAACTTAATAAAAACTGTAAAATTCTTTTTTCTTTTAACTCATAATTACATCATCATTTTGATAATCACGTCATTTTGTGTAAAAAAATATTTTGTGGAAGAGGCACTTTATGAAATCCATTTTTTATTATATCTTTAAAACTTTTGTTCTTGTAATGGGAGCTTAATGGTTGATGAATGGAAATTCATACAAAAGGTCTAGAGTTCAAAACCTGTCAAATCCATAATAAAGTTAGTGTTTCACGATTGATTTCTCACATAGCCCTTGGGACAAGTTGACATGTGCCACTCAGAAGGTTCGGTTACCATTTATTATTATTATAGACGAGTGGTGATAGGTTGATAGCTCGTGCGTTGCGCCGGGTTTATTAATTCTATATTTTCGACTGAGTAAACTAATAAAATAGGTTGATATCTAAGATTAATTATGTAAATTATATATTTGAGATACATATACGCAAACAAAAACAAAACAAAACAAAAACTGGGAAGACCTATTTATTAAAACAAATAATTACATAAATACGTAATAAAACTTAAAAAAGTATGGGTGAAATGGTTATTTTAGAGATATTTAACATAGAAGTGTTATTGTAACGGCCTTAGGGATCAAAAGTGCAATTTTTGCCAACCACGGTGATGATCCATATTAAAATCTTAAAACTTGGACCTAAAGTGTATAACAGTTCAACAAAATTGTTATTTAGCATTCTTGTAAAAAAAAAGTTAAAACACGGACCTAAAGTGCATAACAGTGCACACCACTAGGACCAAAACAGTAATTTACTCATTCTTTCTTGATACATATCAGAACTAAAAACTATAACGCATAGTGTAATTAATCTATTTCTTTTTAGAATTTAAAACTATAGGACAAAAAGTATAATTTTTAAAGAAAAAATTTCGAAAACGGTCATTATGAATTTATATTTCTCCTCAAAACAGTCCTTAGAAACATTTTTCCACCAATCGTTTTTAAGTATGGATCTCATTTCAGTACTGGTCCTTTTTTTTTTTTTTGAAGGTCGAGTTGGGGTCCTAAATAAATTAGCAGAAGTTGGATTATGCAACCAAGAAAGACCATCCAAACTTTTCTTTCCTACACCTATTAGAAATCGAAAAAAAATGCCTTATGAACAATATCATCAAAAATGTTCGATTTCCTAGGAAGAATCTTGCCGAAAACCAAATTATTACGGAAGTTCCACAAATACCAAAATGAAGTAAAAATCACCGCTTGAAATACCTTCCGTTGACCATCCCTTAAAGTAATCGAATCTGACCAAGAAAGAAGAGATTGCACTGTAATCTGAGCTGAAGTCTGAATACCCCACCAAATTGCAATACGCGACCATATGTCAATCAACTTAGTTTTTATTTTTGAACAATGCAAACTTTTATAAAAATCACTCCTAGATGACATGGAACTTTAATTTAGTAATTTTGAAATTAGAATTTATTATTAGATTTAAATAATATATGAAATTTAATAAAATAGAAAAACCATAAAATGACATTTGGAATAAAAATTAATTTAAAATAATCATAAAATTATATGTGGCAAAAATGAATAAAAATGTGACATGTAGCAAAAGTATAGATGCAAACTTTTATAAAAACCACTCCTAGATTGAAGTGGGCTTGTCTTTTGTTTTGGTCTATTAAATAATTGGGCTTCAGCACAACTTGTTTGTTAGTTGGTTTTGGTGATCGAGTCTTGATTTTTCTTGGGTTTAAGGAGTCATGAGTTATGTCTGTTTAGCTTCTTCAGTTACCATCTCATGTAAGCTATTTATAGCTGCTTTTGTTCATCAAATAAGACACAAGAAAACTTGAGTGATTCATATTCTCTGATATTTGCCACTTTACAAGTGGTATCAGAGCAACCTGGGAGCAACTTTGAGGGTAATCAATGGCGGCAGAGAATGCAATCTTTCAAGTCCCTAGCGTCCCAAAGTTTGACGGGGATTACGAGCATTGGAGTATGCTGATGAAGACGCTACTGAAATCGAAAGAGTATTGGGTAGTAATTGAGCCGGGGTACACCGAACCTCGAGAAGGAACAGTACTCACGGTTGCTCAACAGACGGATTTAGATGCTCTGCGTCTCAAGGATTTGAAGGCTCAAAACTACCTGTTTCAGTCGATCGACAAACAGATTTTAAAGACTATGACTCACAAAGAGACTACCAAACAAATCTGGGACGCTATGAAGAGCAAATATCAAGGCAACGTAAGAGTGAAGATGGCGCAATTACAAAGATTACGAAGGGAGTTCGAAATCCTAGAAATAAAAGAAGGTGAAAGTGTCACAAATTACTTTGGCCGGGTGATGTCCACAGCCAATGAAATGAGAAATTTTGGAGAAGAGATAACAGATGTAATGATTGTTGAGAAGATCCTCAGATCTTTAACTGAAAATTTTAATTATGTGGTGTGTTCCATTGAAGAATCAAAGGACACTGATGCGATGTCAGTGGATGAGTTGCAAAGTTCATTGCTTGTGCATGAGCAAAAACTTTTGAAGAAACCTAGTGATGATCAAGTATTTAGCGCAGAACTTGATCCGACCGGAAGACGAGGTCTCGGGGGCGTGGTAGAAGCCCATTCAACAGAGGACGTGGTCGCGGTCGAGGAAGATCAAGGCCTGATTTCGATAAGTCAGCCATAGAGTGTTATAAATGCCATCAACTTGGGCATTTTGCCTACGAATGCACTCAGGGAGACAAGCCGGTAAATTACACCGAATTTGACGAAGGAGAAGATTTACTTCTGATGACTCATGCAGAAGTAAAGAAAGAATGCAAAGAAGGAATCTGGTTTCTTGATTCGGCTTGTTCGAATCATATGACTGGAACACGAGAATGGTTTGTCAACTTAGATGAAGGATTCAAACACTCCGTAAACTGGGAAATGATCTTCGACTTACGGTTAAAGGAATCAGTGAGGTGAGGTTCGAAGCTGAAGGCATAACTCAGGTTATCAGTCGTGTGTACTATGTTTCTGAACTCACTTCAAATTTACTAAGCATTGGGCAGCTACAAGAGAAAGATCTGACTGTTGTTATTCGAAGAGGTGTGTGCAAGATTCTTCATCCTCAACGGGGTGTGATAACTACTTCAAGAATGACAAGAAACAGAATGTTCCTAGTGAATGCAAGGATGAAACCCATTGAAGGCCGATGCTTGAAGCTAGAAGGAGATGGTAACGAACAGCTTTGGCATAGACGACTTGGGCACGTGAACAACAAGTCATTGAGAACCATGCAATTCAAACAAATGGTGAAGGGGCTTCCTAAGTTAGCCGAGTCTAGCAAAGTTTGTGAAGTATGCAATCTGGGAAAACAACAAAGAGTCGACATTCCTAAGAGGAGTAATTGGAGAGCATCAAACCGACTGGAACTCATCCACACTGATCTATGTGGGCCAATCAAACCTGAATCGCCAAGTGGGAAAATGTATGTTATGGTGTTGATTGATGATTTTTCTAGAAAGGGATGGTATATTTTTTGTCAAAGAAAAGTGAGAGCTTTGAAACTTTCAAAAGGTTTAAGTCTATGGCTGAAAATGAAACGGGGCTGACCATTAAAGGGCTAAGAAGTGACCGAGGAGGGGAGTTCACTTCAAAGAAATTTGATGATTTCTGTGGGGAGTTTGGAATTAAAAGACAATTGACGACGGCGTATACTCCGCAGCAAAATGGAGTAGCTGAACGTCGTAACAGAACTTTAATGAATATGGTTAGATGTCTCTTGCTTGAGAAAAACATGCCCAAATGTTTTTGGTCAGAAGCAGCCAATTGGGCCTGTTTCATCCTGAACAGATGTGCTACTACTTCTGTAGAAGATAAAGTCCCTGAAGAAGCTTGGTCAGGTCATACACCAAATGTTGACTTTCTCAAGATATTTGGTTGTATTGGCTATGTCCATGTGCCCACTCAGCTAAGAACCAAGCTTGACAACAAAAGCATTAAGTGTATCTTCTTGGGTATTAGTACCGAATCAAAAGCATATAGGATGTATGACCCAGTACAACAAAAGGTTATCATAAGCAAGGATGTAGTTTTCTCAGAAAATGAAGCATGGGTCTGGGATGCAGAGGTGTTTGGTAGTGAAGATTTATTAATTCTTGATGGTGATGGGGAAGAAAATCAGGAAGAAAAACTTGATGTGTTACAATCCGATGTGACAGGTCCTACATTGGATACTAATGTGAATCAAAGTCCCTCTAGAACTGCAAAGAGTGCAGATGAAGTACAGGGGGATAATACCCCTCAGTCTGTCACACCTCCTTTTGTCGTGGAGCCTAGGGACCGAAATGAAGGCAACAGTTTTGTAGGGCCTAAAAGGAACATATCAAAAAGGACAACTAATGCCCCTATTTGGATGAGAGACTATGAGAGTGGGGAAGGATTGTCAGACGATGAAGCTGACTTTGCTATGTACAGCTACGATGAGGTTGACTTTGCTATGTATAGTTCATTTGAGGACCCCACAAGTTATGAAGAAGCAATCAAAGAACCCAAGTGGATTCAGGCGATGGAACAAGAAATGGAGTCTATAAAGAAAAATAAAACTTGGGAATTGGTGGATAGGCCAGAAGGAATAAAACCAATTGGGGTTAAATGGTTATTTAAAACAAAGTTAAATGAGAAAGGGAAAGTGGATAAATATAAGGCTCGGTTGGTTGTGAAAGGATATTCACAAAAAAAGAGGTA